TGACGTTGCTTTCTCAAATGAGAAAAAATCTTTCTTCCTCCTCGGTGCCTCTAATTATTTCATTAATCACAGTGTGTAATACGATGTCGGCAAAAAAAACAATCCTGTAATTTTTATCTCCGCGAGCTAGCGAGCAGAAAAGATAATGTAATCGCTCAGGAGGGGAAGAAACGTTTAAATACGAAAAGATCGTCCATCGAGGATGAAGAAACTTCGCCTCTCGGAATAATTAGCGAACCGTTTCCGTATCTCTAACAAGGGAACAGAGTTTCTCAGCCACGTTTGACCCAGCTTGCTACCCCGTTCCTAGCTCCACGTAGTCCAAAGTCGCAGGAATTACAACTTTTATGGCTTGCGACCAGCCGAAATTTCCTGCATCAATATCGAACGTTTCCGCGTGTGTTTCGCCAAGAACAGTCGAACGTTACTCGAACGCAGTAAAACTGAATTGTTGGGGAACGATATTGCTCTATAGCGTAAAAGGAAAATTATTTTCTGTTTTACGTCACGACGAGGAGGACAAACAACGAACAGAAACATTTTGGAGTATTGTGTATGTATGATATCGTAGAATCAAATTAAGGGGATAACCAAGTGTGAACCTGTGACAAAATCAATTTTTGTTTGTATATTTAAAAAAAGATAGTCTGAAAATATCTGTGCAAAATTGTACGCCTTAATTGTTGAAATTAACGAAGTTATAACTGGTTAAATGAGATGATGCTTAATTCTGTTATTACCACAGATAGATTCAATGTCAATTCAATGTTCAATTTAACCCTTTGCACACGGATGTCCACTATGAGGGGACATCGTAAGTCTAACAAATTTTGTTAGTAACACCATAAAGAAGTTATGTTTGTAGTGGTGTCATCGCATCAAGAAAGCTAGAAGAATTTATAATCAAGTCTAATAATACCAAAAACAACACGTTTCCAAAGTTAGACTATTTTATGTAATGCGATTCCTGTTCGCATGTTTTCCAACGAGATGGTGCAGAGTGCAAAGGGTGAAAGCTCTAATTGAACATAGAATGACAAATATGGCTACACAGTAGGACCTTTTCGAATAATAAGAAAGTCCTCTGTTTTTTTATCTGCTGGCAGATTAGACTTAAGTATGCTTTTCATTGTAAGCATACTCATTCACAGTATATAAAACTTATATATGAAACTACATTTTCTAAGACGTTGTTCATGATATCTTAACCCTTTAATCTACAACCACGTGTGAGACTCATGGTCGGATATTCGGGCCAAAACTGATTATAACGAGCTTAAGAGATTAAAAAACACTGGACCAACAGGTTCGAGATTTTACACGCATATTCAATGTACGTATGATTATAACTCGAACAAGGATTATATCAAAATTTTATGTCGCTATATTTTCTAGCTTATTCGATAGCTTAAAAAAGCATAAGAATATCCTTAATCACACTTCAAAGTACTGTCATTTATTTATTGACTACTTTTGCCTTCTTAAAAGTAATAAAGCATGATCTGCCTAAAATGAACTTTGTCATTATTTATTTATAACTTAATATGAAACATAAAACAGAATTAATCTTCACAAAATTGTGCTTAATTTAAACTCGAAACATAAGTTGTCAAATAATGGTAGACTATGTCCAGTAAACTAAAATTAACTGCAATTACTTTTAGCAAACATCATATAACAGTAGAAAACTGCACAAACTTTCCACTCAACCCAATGTAATGAAATTCCATACCGTACTATATAGAAACCGCGTTAAAGGGTCTTTCTGGCGTGACAGTCGACAAATTAAGCATACTTTACGAATTTTATTCAAAGTCTATAAAATAAAGAACAATCTCAAAGTTTTTTCTACTAATAACACTATTGAAGAGGATTATAACAATATTTTCATTAAATTTATTCTCATTACTTCATGGTTGTCAAAATATCTTGAAAACGGTGTAACTGAAACAAAAAATTCAAATAGTTTGTTAAATTATATTGGTGTGGTTACTGTGTGAAACAGAATAACCTTGTAAGTGAAAAAATTCAGAAAATGGCGCTCGTTTAATCTCGAGTACCTAAATGTTAACCACTTTTTGTCCATCATGTTACATTTAAAAACTATACAATTTTCAATTTTTAAAAATGACCGTAGCTCACGTCACAGCTACTGGTGCGAAGAATAACATATTTAAATTTCAGAAAGATCGATTCAATAGATTTTTTTTATCTTGACATCCAGATTAAAAAAATAACATTTGGAGAAATACTTTTACACGTGTTTGATTTTACTATGACGTCTTTCGCTTTAGATTGGCCGTAAAAGCCATAATAATTCGAATAACAGCAAATTTTACAAACAAACAAACAAATTTTAAAACAGCATTTTTCAATACATCTATTTTCGAAAAGTGAAAGAAATAATTGATTCTTTGAAGGGTCATACCTGAAGGACCCTTTAAGTAAAACTCAGAATTATAAATTCATTTAAATTTAACAATTCCAAATTTGGAGATTACTATTTTCGATTACTGCTACATCTCGCTATTTTCCCTTTCCCAGATTCATAAATTAGCATTCTAAATTTATGTATGAAATTTATGTATAAAATCAAATTCCTAGAAGTTCTCAACGAACAGGATCCTCCGAATGAAATGAAACACGAACGAACACGAAGGCAACGAGTAAGGGAAGAACGCAAACGTGAAGAATCCATGGTGCACGGACGATTCATTTCTATCGTGTCGCTGCGAATAAGTCGCGGCGTCCTTGGTTACATCTCGAGAATCGGGTATCGATTGCTCCTCTCGTACGGCGATAGGGAAAAAAACGAGGGAAAGAAAAGAAAACAGACTTGCTTATTCTCGCGCCGCTCCTCGTTCGGAGCAACGTAAACACGTTGCGGACTAAGTTTCACCTTTACGCTTCTTCGAAACACCTTGGTTTCCACGAAACCCTATGGCTTTGAAAAAAAATTGAGGTTTCTAGGAAATCACGTTTCCTTCAATGCCAGGATAAGCATAAAGCCAATATTGAATTGATACCTACCTCACTCCCATTTTTCAATTTAACGGGTGTTTCCTCAAACGTTTCATTTATTATTATTTATGACTCGTTTTACTTATCATTTTAGCTTAAATGCTTTATTCACAGTTATAAATAAGTTCAAATAAACTATCTTTAAAGGTTCACTTCGATCAGATACGTAAAAGAATGATGTAGCTGTTTTTAGTTATCATGAACGATCCATAATCTTTATTGTAAGTAACATTAACCAATGAGGCTCCTTCAGGTTTTAAGCAACAAAATACTTTGGATTAATTATATACTTTAATAATTGAAAGAAATCGACTTTCTACCTTTTTACCATTGAAATATATTATTAAGAACATTTTTTGCATATAGATTGAATTTCGCGTGTACATTTTCAACAAGCGTGTTTTTCATACTGAATACGAGTAATATCCGCTTTATTTTTTTTTTTTTTTGCGATAATCGATTCGACAGTTTTTGCGTATAATCGAAATATGGTTGAAAGCATTCAGCGTTCTATTCGCATAAAGCTTGTTGTTCAGTTGATAGACATTTAATTCGAATATTTATATTTGCGTTACCTTAACAGCGTCTCATAATAATAGTACTAATTTCGAACTATATTTCAAGTGATTTAGATAAATGAAAGGTCAGACAGAAGCAGAAAAATAATTTCAACAATTTTGGTGGATGTTTATCTTGTGATAAAATTTATCTTTTAACGCTTGAACTAAGGATTACAGGAATTTCTTTGATTTTTCAAAGAGATTCTTTGATTTTTTGAACAATACAAAGATGTTTTATTTAAAAAAAATCTTAAACGAAGAACATTTTACATTAACTCTATAAATCACTTTTCTTTCACAGAAAGTTTGGTATAAGTCTACGTAGCAAAATCATGAAGTAACAAATAGTTATTAAATAGTATATACATTGAACATAAAATAGTTATACTTAATCAACAAATAACATCAACTGCATTAAAACATAGAAATGTATATTTCCATATTCACAACCGGCAGACGTTTTAAGTCTCTAATATCAGTAAGCAGGAATAGAATTTGAAGTGACATAAATTCACGTCAGGCGTCTCGAATGTGTTAAAAAACAATATTAAATTACATAGCATTAGATTGAGACAAACGTAAAAAAATTTGAATATGGACTAAAAGAGTGAAACGTCGTACAGTATAAAACTTGCAATAAAAACATCGAATCGTTTGGTGAGTTAGATGTTAAGCTAGAAATTTGGCATGAGTCATTTTGACGTGTTTGGTTGATAGAGTGTGAAACACGTCATTGTCAAAACAGCGACACAGTTGGCCTCGAATCTGTCGTGTCGCCAAGGTTGGCGAAATATTTGCTCGACACAATCGTAACACTAATTTTCTTGTTGGAGCTGGAGATACGGACATTTTATTCCAATGACATATGAGGAATAAAACCCATCTATAGTAATTTATTCATGGCGTTTACGTGAACGATTAAATTTTCGTTTGTTCGCTATGAAATATTTTATTCTAGAAATCAACAAAAAATTTTTGTCTAAAGAGTAACAATCGTTAATCGTTTATACATTACTCGAAATTTTCATCTAGATAAAAAATCATCATCATCCCATTTATGATTCTAACGATTAAGGGTATAGTGTGCGGGAGAACGAGTGGACACTTCGTATCAATCCAAAGAATGTCACAGTTTAAAGCAGAAAAGGACAAAATCTAACTCGAATAATCTTTCACAAATAAGACACGTCGACTAAAAACAACGCACAGCGGGTCATTCGCGACCTTCGTTCGATTGAACGGGTCACCCCGATAAGTTTCCTCCTCGTTCAACATAAAATATAACTCGATTATTTCAATCACAAATTTTATTTAATACGTTTGGAGTAAAAATCTGTTCATATTTCATTCATTATTCGAGACTTTTATCCGTGCAGAAATTTTGCCCATCTTTTGCTCGAAGAAATCTTGCAGACTCACCTAATTCGCAGGCACTGGGCTGGAACGTTGAGAGGATGGTCGACTGAATCGTTGCTGGCTTGGACGACGAGGCAGTTGCCAGGATAACACTAACCAGGGATCAGCTGATCGACGAATGACAGACGGTGGCGATCCGTCACCCGCAACGAGTATTCACCACCGAACACGATAACCCTCGCCGAACGAAGGTGCGCGGACGACTGACTGCCGCTACCGCCACGGTGGGGTGTAGCTGTGCGCTGATTCTCAACCAACCCCCACTCTTTCAACCCCTTTCTACATCCTTTCTTGTCCCGCGTACACGACGTAGCCCTCTCTCTTCAACCTACCGCGTCTTGTTTCCATCCCCTTCGTGACCAACCCCTTCGTCCAAAGGATCGCTCTTTGTCTGCCGGTCCTTTTCTGTTTTCCTTCGCCTTTCGCTCTGCTTTCTCCGCGATCCTTCCGCTCCTTTATCACGTTCCTGTCTTATTACAATTTTCCGTCTTCTTTCCGGATTCGGCTGTCCGTCAACTAGCCTCTTACTCTTTCACTTATCTCGTTTGCTTGTTGCTTCGGTTTTTCCCTGAAACGCGTTCACTAATTCCATCAGAGATTCCTTCTTTGCTTACCGTTTAATTTGCTAAACGAATTTTTGACAAGGCGTTAGGAAATTCGAAAACCATGTTGAATTCATTTGCTCGACGATTGATTCTAATCTGGAGGATGGGAAGAGTTTAGAGCTGTTGGAATATTTACTATAATTCAACCTTTTATCTTGCTAGAAAAATAACTGTACTGAGAATATATGTACAATGTACATATTTGTCACTGGAGAATAAGAAAAGAGAACGTTTAGGATATAGCCTAAACAGATGTATGAAAACTGCAGTATACATATACAACTAGAAATTCTTTCTACCTTTCACGTATAACGTTTGTCTGTTAGTCTTGACCAGTGCTTCGTAGAGAAAACGTCACAGTTTATTCGTGAAATTTTAGAAATAAAATCAAAACTTTTAATCATGTTATAGATTTTTTATGACGGGACGAACGACGGGAACGAATGGGACGACGAGTTGATGATGAGTGTCAGAAAGAAGCGAATGGAAGTAGAAAAAGGTGTGCAAACGACCGCGAATAAAGAGAATTCGAAGGAGATTAAGATCGAGCGCGAGCTAGTAAATGAGTACGAAATCTTTTCTCTGTGTTTATAACAGTACTATATTTTTGTTAGTAATAATACTTATTAATATACAACTACTAACAATTCTAACAGTTAATAAAATTAGTATTTTATTCTTTTATTACTACCCATTTTCAATAAATGCTGTGTGTGTTGGTTGCGAGAGGAATAACAATTGTGGCGTTTGGTCCTGAATTTGAGGATTCATTGATTTTTGACTCATAAAGGAAGTACCCAAACTGTAGCACTCGATGTTAAATGCAACTTGGCAGAAATGAAGATCATGATCTAAGTAACGTACAACTTTGTACGTGTTTTTTGGAATAATACAAATTTTTTCATTGTGCTTCGATATTTTATATTATAAGAATGTAGATGACTTCGAATTGTATTACAAGATATTTGTATACATTCTTTTATCAATTTTCAAACACGCATTACTTAAAAGTTTCGATGGTCACTTATTGGACAGTCTGAACGTAATACATACTTTGCGATCATTCTTACAATTAACAGCTGATTTCTCAATTGATAATAAAGCAGCAATGTTTTGGAAATATTTATCAGTTCATAACAACTCAATTACTCTCTTTCGCGTTTTAATTGAATTCTACTCATGATATCATTTTGAAAATGTACCAGCAACTAACTTTTGGTATTCTGATAGTAAGGGACATTGTATAAGTCAAAAAACCGAAGTGTTAGGAAACTTTAGAGCACACTTATTGTTGGCATTGTTTTCTTCCATATATTATATCCTCGTAGTCAATATTAGTTACAATTATTTCAGATATCGCTTTGGGAATATAAAGTGAAAAATTTATCTGCCCGGAAAGATTTGCACGCAACTGTAGATCAACATATTTCCATGAAACTTGGCTGATACATCGTGAAAAGTATCTACTTCCATTACGCGTATGAAAGATTTATATAAGATATTTAGAATCATCAAAAAATACTCATACATCAGCATTTGTTTCGACCTGAAAGGCGTTGTTCTCCCTTAAGCTCCCTCTAGTCATTGTTTCGCCGACACACATTTCCTGTCCCCTTTCTGCTTCCTCATTCCCGATACAACTCACTCCAACCCCGTCTTTTTCTAACGAACGCGTTCTCCATCTCTTCCAAGCTTTTCGTCCCTCCTTGGCCCCTATCTCTCTCAGTTCCAGAGAGATGCGAATGCCACCCCGTTCGTCGACGAAGTTTGACTGCGGGCAGAGAACAGAGACGGAAAAACAGAATAAAACGGCAGAGGGGGAGTATAATCGAGGGCGTGAGAGAGAAAGGGCGGAGAAGAAGCGCGCGAGAGAGGACTCCGAGTGCAAATAAGGCACCAGTGGGAGCAAGACAGAGCTTGAGCCCGAGGGTGGAAGAACACCAGCGATTTATTGGATCCCCGAGACCAGCGATCACCTATACGCCTGGAGAAAAGTTTGGTAGGATTCGAGACGGGATACTTTGGCGGTTGACTGTTTGGTACGGACAAAAAAAACAACGCGAGAAATATGGAAGTCGGAAGTGCGAGTCCTGCGGTGAAAGCAAAGAGAACAATGAAAGATCAACTCATCCGGCTTAGGGAAGATTCCGGTGTTGCTGTCACTGGGATCGATAGCGACCGCGGACGTGTCAGTTGGCATCGTTCATCGATGTTCACTTCAATCGAACGGCTGATGGTCGATCGATTGTTAGATCTGTGTTATACATTATTTACACTAATATTATAAAGAGGTAAAGTTTGTTTGTTATTATGTACGGGGTAATCTTCGGAACTACTGAATCGATTTTAAACATTTTTTTCAGGAATAAAAACCTACACTATCCCTGTGTAACATAGGTCATGTTTTATTTTTAAAAAATGTACGTTTTCAATTTAAAATCTAAAAATTTGTAAATCAAGCCGGAAGAGAAGCGATGCTTGGCTGTTTTATCGGCGTACGCTGACCAAATGGTTGGATATACGTGAAAATAATGTAATACAAAAATATACCTAGCTTTAAAAATGAATTGAAAATTATAAGGAGAACTTAAGGGTATTTATTAGGTATAATATATTAATCTTTATAAAAAGAATCATTTTATTATCTGGAAAATTTCACGAAGGTGAAATTTGCCCTTTACAGCACGTTATTTGGTCGCATAATTTAGGAGACAATGAAGTGATAGTAATTCACAGTGAAATGAATTATAAGTCATTCATCACTAGACTGCGGATTTTTATGCAAAATAAAATCTTGGCAAACGTATCTATGAAAATTGAACCTAAATAGGAATTTATGTTATTCTGCAAATATTATAATATGAACTTTACTCTGAATATTTTGTATATTCTTGCATACTGTGTGCATTTTGTAGTTTCTTCCACATTCAAATTCCCTATTAATGCATCAAAATCCACAGTCTATTCATCACACGACCGAATTCGTCATTAACCCTTTACACTCGAGAGATGATCCTCAGTCACCATTAAGTTTCACGCAGCGAATCTACAATACCTAATGTTTCATTAGACTTAATTTCTTTCGAGCTCGAAGTGTCAATAAAATGATTGTCGGCGAGGTAAAGGTGATTTTATTCTCAAATCTAGATAGCTTAGAATTCATGGCTATAGAGTGCTAAGGAACACCTCGAGTTGCTGGTAGATACCAGAAAAAAAGGCTTCGAGTGCAAAGGGTTAATATTTACATTTAAAAATCTATCTGTACCCTACATCCAGTTAAATGTGTACTTGCATAAACACTACAATAGTTATTGTACCTACGTGAGTGATATAGAATAAGAATAGTATTCCACGTGTGTGAAACCGCGGGCTTAGAACGCAACAACGTCATCATTAGGTCAAGCACATGGATACCTGAAAATTGACAGTTTCTAGCGATAGCAGGACCCTGATTCATCGCACGTTTGCCCCTCAGCAATCTGTCGCGCGAGCGCGCGCAGAGCGTTGCTAGCAGCTATCAATTTGACAGGAAATAATTTACACTTTCCACCGCACCGGCTCCGCGGGGAAATATATTGTGAATATGCATGCGCCATGCATGAATATGAATACGGGTGAATTATTACGCGACAGAAGAAAGTTCGCGAACGGGGTTTCGTGCTGGGCGGAAACGTTTCCCTAGATAAGAGTCTCGGAGCTCCGTCGGTACCAACGGCACTTCCCAGGTGTACCCAAAGGTATCTCAAAATCTCCAGCGAACTTCCTGGCGATGCAGGAACTTTTACGAGAAGTACACGGAACCTGTACTTCGAATGCATCCAAGACTGTCTCAAGGTATCATTCGAAATCGGTTGCTGATCTCCCAAGATACTGCCAGTTTGTTCAGGATGTCTTGCACTCGCTGAAGTTACTAATTTCAAAGAGTACAGCATACCTGGAAATAAGTACGATGTGACAGGTGCAATGATAAAATTTTCATGTTGAAGTATTGGACTTAGAATGAATGTTCTCGAAGTGTCCGCCACCGACAGTTTTGAAACTTTGCATACGTGTAAAACATCGAAGTATATTCGACAGGTACATTTTTATTTTGGCTAGTTTTCATATTTTGGGGATGAAACGGTCCCTCAATATTCATACGAAGGGGTAAACGATTTTAGATATTATAACATTGTGTTGAACAAAGCTTGATGTAAACTTAATTTAATTCATAACATACTGTATGGATAATTTTCTTGTCGACATTCTTATCAGAAGGTAAATTATTCTTAATCATTTGGACCTTGGGAACATACATTTTTCCTATCAAACGATTTCAATGAAATTTGGTATAAAAGACTTTTTGGAGGCCTTGACTCCAAATATGAACTCAGATTCAGAAATTCAACATGGTAGATCCAACATGGCGGACCAAAATGAAAAAATGACATGATTTTGTATGTACTCTAGAGATTATTTAAAATTAAGAGTAATTCAGTTATTAAAACAGAGTGAGACTCAGAAAAAGTTGCGGAATGTAAGTATCTATTATCTTAATGAATTTGTATATTCTTTGGACTTGGTACAATAAAGACCCAATATTATTTTAATTGT